GTTGGACCTGATGTTGGTCTCGATGTCCATGATGGAGGCGGCAGAGCAAGCCTGCTGGATGCTGATGTCGAAGATGGAGGTGCGTATCGTGAGCCCCCACGGATCTGCCACACAGCGAACAACATTGGCTAAGAGCAGCGCGCAGATCCTGTATGCTGATGAATCTTGAGAGCTCGCCCTTGACCAGCCAGTCGGCCAGCTCACGATACAGCAGATGCAGTGATGGACAGAGCGCCGTCAGGTCGAGCTTCAGTGCCTGAGTGAGGATGGTGTTGGCGTCGGAGCGCCGGAATTTGTGGAGGTCATGATGCACGTGGGAGAAGAGTGTTCATCATTGCCCAAAAGGTGCCAAAACATCCCAAATAGCGGTTCTATAGTGTCCAGCGTATGGATCCCTTCCCACATGGAAGGAAACAGCAGTCGCTGTAAAGGGAACCCTGTCCACCTCTATGCATGAATCGGTGAAGTACGGAATGAACACTTCACCCTGGCATGGGCTGGAGTCCGTATGACTCTAGGCTCCAGGTGGTGATCAGATCTTGCGATCTTGCAGGTGCGCAGAGGTAGAGACGACTGGACTGGTGTGATCCACAATCTACCGTGCGAATTGAGCGTCTGCGTCAACTCTTGCCTCCCAGAGGCTGCTGTGAAAGCTCGGGGCCACTAGAGGCAACAAAAATGCAAAAAACATCTATCATGTTGTTCAAAAGGTCTGTCCCAAAGCTGGCATCAACGTCAGCCAAGGTCCATTGGACCAAAGAAGCATCGGTTCAGCAGGCGTGGAGGAGAGGATCTGCTCAACACTTCCCGGAGGATCTGCCACTGTCGTGCCATCAAAGGGCCCGTTATGATTCACCCCCATAGCAGCCCTCACACTGCAGTCGCCTGAGGTGCAATCCATCCTCTGTGGTTACAAGGCGCCCAGTATTTTGTCGAGGTGGTTGGCTAGTGGAGTTCTGTGCACGGTTCAGGATCAGCGCCAGAGGCCGGACGCAGAGCGTGCGTCTCCTGTGTGTGAGTGTCGGTGTGACATGGCAAGGGAGAGGCGCCATGGGATCACCGGAGGCTTGGAGCCACGATCCTTGTCCAGTGATTGCTGAATCTGAGTTGAAGATCTCCGAATCGAATGATGAGTGATTGCTGTTGCAGGAGCGTCAGGACGTTGGTGAGCTGGTTGATCAGCTGTGCGGTCCGGATTGATTTTGAAGGTCTTCTGAGTTAGGTCAGAGTGAGAGTGAGCGAGCGTGGGGTGAGTGTGAGAATGCGAATGAGTGTGAGTGTGAGTGAGAGTGAGTGTGAGAGTGACTGAGAGTGTGAGAGTGACTAAGAGTGTGAGTGAGTGCGAAAGTGAGAGAGCGAGAGTGAGCATCTGAGAGCACAAAGCCACGAAGTCTGCGCTTCGAGGTTCACAAAGTGCTGCGCCTGCCACGAAATCTGCGCATCGAGGTTCGCAAAGTGCTGCGCCTGCTATGAAATCTGCGCTTCGAGGGTCACAAAGTGCTGCGCCTGCCACGAAATCTGCGCTTCGAGGTTCGCAAAGTGCTGTGCCTGCCA